ACCAACTGAAAACAGATATGATGCTGGAGGGCACCATTCGGAAGCAACTCAGGGCAGTGGGAACACCCAGAGGAGAAACAGTCATTGCGAACTTAAAGATTAGGGAATTATAGCCCCCACCCACTCACCATATAGTTCCTCTCTGTTGCCAGTTAGAAAGCCAAACAGCAAATGGAGGCTCACAGTCAGTTATCAGAAGTTAAATGCAAAAATGGATCCTTTAACTGCAGCTGTACCAAACATGGTTGATGGTTGCCACCATTCAGAAGCAAGACCATGAATTTCAGGACACTACTGAAATCAAAGATACGTTTTTTATGGTTCCTCTTGGAGAAACAGACGGGGATTGGTTTGCCTACATCTAGGATACTGCCACTCACACTTAGAAAGTATAGCATTGCAAATTTCCCAAGAAAAGGTACAATCCCCCATCTCCAGAGGCCAGACTCCTACGTGTTTAGTGGAAGGGAGGAACAGTATGTATTCCACCCAAAAACTTGAACACTTCAGAGTGGGTAAGCTTGCCAGTGACAAAGAAGAGACTGCAACATGCGCATCCATTGTATGATTTGTCTCATAAAAGATCAGTGTGTGACTGGACTCTTGTCCATGAAGAGGCTCAAAGGTTATTAATTTTTGAGGCAGGAGTATATCAAACTTTGAGACCAATTCACACCACTTATCCTTTACTCATAAAATGGGGTTTTGGAGTTTATGGCTTGACAATGCATATGTAGAAGAAAGGACCGGAGGAACGTACCAGCCCAGCACGTTTCTATTCTCATAGCTTAAAAGATGCAAAGAAATTGTATTCAGTTTCAGAGGAGGGTTTCTCTGTGCTTTATCTAGCTTGGGAATTGATACAAGCATTTATATGTATCTGGAATCATACTAACCAAGGGATATGCATTGCCTTCCCTGATTTTGTCTAGAGGTTTTAGATTCACTATGATTGGGGTAAATTTTAGGGAGATAAGTACCTTGTACCATCTTCCAAGCAATTCTACTTGGAATCATTTGTGGAATTAAAAACATCATCAGTCACTGATTGTTAATTTCACCATAATGCAGATAAATACCACTTTTGTCCCTTGCACCAGTGTGCCATGGTAGCATTCTCCCTGTCAGCGTGGATATTTTGAGCATGAATATAATATCCACTGGCATGCAGATCAGTATAGACAAATTTCCAACAGGCCAGGCATCCCACATCTTAATGATCATGCCAGCTGTGCATGGGCCTGGTCCCTGAGACAAGTGTTTGACCCCAGAGGCCATCTGGATTTGGCCTCTGTTCTCTGTGGTGGGGAGTGGCCTTTGCTGGGAGGTTGGAGAGAGTTGTGTGGGCACTCCATACTCCCAGCTACCCCAAGCACATGGATAGCATAGAGAACCAAGGACATATTATAAGATTTGTTAAAACAACACAGTGCAGGTTGGTTAGAATGCCTTAGGGAATTAGTGACCAGAGTGAGCAATAGGTGGGGAATGAGCAGGTGCCCACAACTAAATGTCTTCTACTCCAAAACACCCTTGCTTCTCCAATCGGAAGAGAAGTCAGGTCACATTATCACAATATCCCATTATCCAGGGCAGACAGTTTTGGTCAAACTGCCTGTGGGACAAGACTCCTTAGTACTTAAAGCCATTTTGAACCATTTTCCTTGGATAGCCACATATGCTCAGGGAGGAGAACATACAATCATGTTCATTGGATGATTCCTTCCTCTTAACCAGATCTGTGAGAACTGAGTTTTCTATTTTCTTTTCTTTTTCAGGGACAGAACATTGAACGTCCCCTTATGCTGGAGCACTGGGAATGCCTCTCAGGTATATTGTGTATTCTTGTCGCAATAATATGTGCAGACTGTTGTGGGCATGGGCAGGGATGTCCTTGGGTCCATTCGCTCCTGATGGGCCAGAGGGAGTGGAGACACTAATGCTCTAAACTTTGCATGGGAACTAAATCAGGGATCTGTGAGAGTTTTGAACTGCACCGATCTGTTATACCCCTTCCTCAGTCTGTTTTTTGGGGGATGAGAACCTTTTTGTTATGTTTCTGACCTTTTATGGTGTCATTAACTGTAATACTGGTAAGGAATTCCATGGTTGTTGAAAAATGTACAAGTTTTGATAGGAGATATGTGTATGTGTTGGGGTTGCCTTTCTTGTGGCTTCAGAAATTGAGATTCCCTGTGTAACAACACTAACAATGATGTCTTAGATGAAATAATGTTTGTATGATTTTCAGTGGCATGCAGCAATAGAACAAGGAGCAGTCAGCAGAACTTGGAACACAGGAAGTTCAATCATGAGGAAGAACTTCTTTGCAGATAGAGTGGTGGAGTACTGGAACAGGTTGCCCAGAGAGGTTGCAGTGTCTCCTTCTCTGGAGGTATTCAAAACCCTTGTCATGGTTTTGTGATTTTTTGTTTTCGGTATTCCACATCATAACATCATGTGGGGCAGTGGGAGTTTAACTGTTGGTGCTCAAGCTCTGGGTAGCTGCCTAGAAGAGAAGAAGAACTACATTCCCCAGGGGACTTTGCGGTCACAGAGAGTCTCAAGATACAACTCCTGGCAAGGTCACCTGGTGTGCTCTTCTTTTGCCTGCTCTTCATCGGCTCTCCCCCCTTTTTTTTCTCCCTGCTGCTCAACTGGACTGCGCATCTCACCTCAGCTCTCCGCGTTGTGGTGAGGCCTATCCACCTTTCGGACATTCTCTCTCTCATTATATTTGATTTATTAGCTTCAAATTTAATTATATTGTATTATAGTGTGTTATCTTGCATTCTGATAGTATATTTAGTAAATTAGTTTGTTTCTCCTCAGATCGTTGCCGCTGTTTTTAATTATTTTGGGGTCCCCTGTTCCCTTTTTCCGGAGGCGCGGATCTGCGGATCCCTCTGCCCCGCTAGTCACGGAACTGGGCCGAACCAGCCTGTAAACCTTTGACAACCCTCCTGGATGCTTACCTGTGCAACCTAGAGTAGGGAACCTGCTTTAGCAGGGGGTTGGTCTCAGTGATCTCTAGAAGTCTGTTCCACCACAGCAATTCTGTGATTATGTGATATTGTGGAGCATTCCGCACACGCTGTCCTCTTGAAGGTCTACTTCTCTTCACAGGATCAAAAATAAATGAATTCATATTGTAGACTGTTAACGATACATGGACTTGCCAGATCAGTATATCTGTATCGCACCATTCAGATTGGCTTGGGAATGTTCAAATGGAAAATTTTATTCGTATTTAACATTGGAGCAATATGCAGGGTTGAATTATACTGCACCTTGGAAACAGATTCATCAACAGTCCAAGACCCCATCCAAATGACCTAGGTGGGCAGTATACAAAGTTGACAGAGAATCTCACACCCATTTGTCTTAGAAAACATAACCTGACAAGTCTTGTCAAATTAAACTGAATAAGCTTTTGGAGAATTAAACTCACAAGCACTACAAGTATCAAAAACGTCATCACAAAATGGGATACACTTGATATGTTACTTAAGGAACAGGGAGCGTGCTGCATGTTAAACTTAACCAAAGAAGAATGTTGTATCACTATCCACAATGCCACCTCTTACAGCTCATGCAAAGATGAAAGAAATTGCTGATCAGACTTCTGAACTGTTCTAAGCATTCCAACCAAAAGACTGGTTTGATAGACTCTCACTCATGTCCTCGTTCTCCAGCATTTTACAGTCTCTGAGACTGATGTATTGGGGAAAATGGTTGGCAGAAATCAGACTAGCCTTGCTAATTGAGCTTGTGTTCTCGATAGTTGGCATAGCTATTGTTAGATGTGTGATTACTCAGCTGCTTTCTTCTGTCTCTTCTCTCTTTACTCCTGCAGTTTGTTAATATCACCATTCCTGAAAATGAACTTTAGACCACTTGTTACTCAAGGTTAAGCCACTAGGTGATGTAAGAGACCACTGAGGAACTTGACTCAACAACTTCAGTCCAAGAGACAAGGTAGGGGAGGTGTACCAGGTTCTGCTGAGGCAGGGCAGTGAAATGTTTTACCCATATCCTTTTATGGCCACTTACTGAGGAGGAAATGCACAAACTCCAGAGACCCTTGCTGAAAACTCTCAATTCTTCTGGAACTCCTAGCTATGCAGATGCAAGGAAGTTGCCACCTCACAGGCAGTCACTGAACAACTGTACTATATAAAGCTGAGCACACATGTTCTGCTGTCATTGGTTGACCCCAGATCAAGATCCAATTCTAGACAACATGGGACCTGAGGATGTGGTGAAAAATCTCTTTCATTCTCCTCTTAACCTCTTTTTCCTTCTGATTCCTTTTCACTTGTTTGTTTAGTAGCTGTTGCCTAAACCTGCCTTTAAGTAGTTGACCAGAAAGTAACACCTGTTCCAGAGTACCCTTCATCCATAATGGTTTTTGTTGTTACAAGTTACCTAATTTTGCCTCAAGGTAGCTCACCAATTGCAGTTGGAAAGCTAAGAAATTGTTTTGTGTTGTTCCTCTGAGTATTTGTCCAACTCTGTCCATGTCTTAACCCCTGCCAACCAGGGAGTGCCCTATTTGGAGAATTCCAAAGATTCACCTTCCTCAAAACCCACTGAGTGGGATGAGACAAATCTTTTGACTCATGTATCACACTACCAGAGAAGCATGCTGTCTTTGTGGTTTTACCTTACATGGTAGTCCTTTTGGAGCAGTGGGTGTCCTGAGCATGTACTCACTCACTCCTGAGCTGCATTAAGATCCAGACTAATAAAATGCCACGTAGTTAGCATTCAGTTTGTGCTGTCTTATTGAAGTCTCAAGATTGTAAACTTGAGTTTTCATTAGATTTATTTTGATGTGACACAATATTCATCCAGAATAGAGTTTGATTTACATTGAATAAACCTGGAATAACAGTTATATTTTCTGTTTTTTTTTTCTCTATTTCCACTGGTGCAACTGGGATCAGATTTTGGTGCTCTTTTTAAAAAGTAGTAAGGATAATGACAAAATGTTAACTAATGGAAAACATTTAAAGAATTTAAAAGACTATTATGCAAGAGGGTATTAAAAGACCTTTTCCTCTGCTTTGAGGACAAGTTCAGTTTGACTGCAGCACAACTCTGCAATTACAGCAATCAGATACAAGCTTTCTAGTGTCTGGGTGCTTGTAGCAGCTTTTGAAGTTTTCATAGCCATTGTACGGATTGTACCACAACTCAAAGTAATTACTTGTGGGTTCTCCAGTTGTTCTTGAAGAAATGCTCAGACAATGAATAGGCTGAGTGCAGAACTATCTCAGAACTGGTCTTTGCCCTTCTGTGCTCCCTGTACAGTTACTCTGCAGTGAGAAAGTAATAGAGAGTACACAAAAATGGATCCAGGAAAGAAATCAGGTGCATAGGGAGTTTTGTAACTAATGGGGTGTTTTTACATCACCGTAAAACTGAAGTTTGCCAGTAGAGAAATCTGAGTACATCTTCTCTGTTTTTCAGATGTCTCACAGCCCTTGGACTGAAAGTGATTTAAAGCCATTTTTCAAATTCTCCCTCCATTTTTTAACTCCCGCAGAAGCAGAAATGTTGTGGGATGAATATTATCCTCGCTGGTATCTTCAAAATAGCTGTACCAGTGAGGTTCCTAGAGAACCACTGTGAGAAGAATAATTTACTTATGTTCTCATCTGTATCAGTCTGAAACTGATTACTTTGGTGGAAGGAAGCATAACTAAATGAAGCTGTTAGAGACAGGGCTACGGCAGTTACACCTTCTGCTTCATTTTCTTTTACAGAGAAGTCAGAAGTATGGAGAATCATCAAATGTGGTGAATTTAATGACTTCACTTTCACTTTTTTTAAATAAATAATTTGATCTGAATGAGTGATGATACCAAAAGAATAGCTTTGTAGAACAATTGTAAGACCACGTGAACTTTAGGAAACAGTCCACTGATTTTGCTTGGTTTCATTTGCATAACATAATTGCAGGAATGGTGGTTGGTAACCAGCTGTCAGCAGGACTGGGGGTAGCTACGACAGGCAGCTAAAATGTCACTTCTTTGGTGTGTCTCTCAGTTTCTGGGAAATAAACTGTGTCAACTTATGTCAATCAAAGCAAATATACATGTTACTACTGAATGTATTTTACTGAACAATTTTGTGTGTATGTGTGTCATCAAAATGAAAAGCCTAACAGGCTAGTTTGTGGTTTTTTTCCTACTCTGTACCTCTCCATGTAACAGGCTTTGGGTGGAGGGTATCTAAAACATTCATGGAAAAACAGGAACCTGATCTAGCATGTCCAAGGTCCTGTTGATACTTAAAGCCAATTAGAAATGCCATATCCTCTGTTCTGAAAGGATCAAAGGCTATTTCCATTTTTCAGGGTGCCTATCTTGCAGAAACAGCTAGTATGTTAGAATCGCTTCTATGGGTCAGCACAGGAACTTCCTGTAGAAGATCAAACCACTTTCCGTGTTACGCAACCCACGCTCTTCATTTTTTCACATTCACAAGAATAAATGCAGGCTATTATATTAAGTTCTTAATTGCTCCAATAACTAAAGTCTGAAGCAGACAATTTTCAAAGTCATATTTTATTAGGAAGTTTTAATGTTTTCAAAACAAAACTTCAAACACAAATATAAAAAAAAGTCTTCAAAATTAACAGGTTGTGTGAATTCAGTATCTTACCAATACAATTGCAAGGCGTTGTGGTTGGGTGAAATGTGAGTACATTCTTTGTGAGTGTACAAACTGTTTTATTTGGCAGTAGGTTACACTGATTTATACTGAAATGTGAGAAGTGAGCTTCTTATTGCTAAGAATGACAAATATATTTCTTATAGTAAAGGAATACAAAAACACAAAAATTACCAGCAAAGTGTTAAGAGTTTCCCAGAGAGAATTGTCTTATGAATAATTGCACTTAGCCTGTAGGATGTTAGTAGTATCTAATACTATTTTCTTTATTCTCTTAAAGTATTTATTATTTCCTTAACATAAAGCCATTCTGTACCCAACGCAAAACATTCACTGAATGCAGATTTAAGATAACACAATATTAGATTTTAATTGTGCACCTTTGCTTTCCTCTTCTTACCTATATACCAGGAAGATTTACACACCAGAAAAAAAAAAAAAAGCACTAAAATACTGTGTTGAATGATCTGTGCAAAATGGGAAGCCTCTATATAGTAATTGATAACCTCATGCAAAAGAGAAAAAAATTAAAATTAAAAAACAGTCTAAGAAGCCCTGAGTCAATAATTTCATTGCAAAGGCGAGGAACACGAGTGCTCTGAGTTTTTCCTACACTTGGGTGATTATCCAAATGAGTCCAGTCTTCACTTAAAGCACATTTTAAAGCAGGCCATTGTGCAGTTTCTCACATAAAAGCTTTCTATGCATTCCACTCCTTTCAGCAGATTGTATTTAATACTCAATTTCATTTAAGCTGTCTGGATAGCCTGATGAGAATTGAATTTCTTCCACTTCTAGAATACAAAAAGGGGGAAGTACTGTAAGTGCTAGTATATTTTAATATGTAAGACAGAATATAATTACTGTGTTGGACTTAAAGGGAACCACCATACAGCTTTTTAAATGTGCTACAAGATTTTTACTAGACCAAATTCTAGTTTCACACGTTAGTAAACATTCTACATGAACAGCAACATGATAATAAATGCAGATCCATCCAGAGGGGCTTTAAGGAAAGACATATCACCTGTCTAAGTACAAAAAAGTCACTGTGTGACTTGCTAGATGTCTCCTAAGAAAAGCAAAGCAAGCTTAAACTTACCTAAACAGGGTCCTGCTTGGAACAGAATATCATCAATAGCTGTGTCACTTCTCATTGACACCCCACGGATTGCTTCAAAAATAATCTGTAAAGACAAGACATAGCTTTTCAGGGATTCCCCAACTAGAAGGAAAGACTGAAACAACCCCTCCCCCCAAAAACCATGCAGTCTGTTCAGGGATCTAGTGTGTCCTGAAAGCCTGGTTCTTGGAAGAACACTTCCATATTCCATTACTGGACTAACTTCCTTGGTCACAAACTTTGGATATGTATTATGCTGAGGGGAACAGATTTGTTCTCACAGTTCGGTAGGATACTTCTTTATTTTGAACCATTGATAAATCTGCTTCAGTGATGTTATGTGCCTATTTTCCTTTTCAGCTGAAACATATTATTGTCATGTGTTACTCAAATGAAAGACAAGAGAGAGAAAAAAAAAAGAAAAAACAAAAAAACATTCTGTTGTGATTCTTTATTCCTGATGAAGCTAAACTTGATTTTAGTGAAAGTTTTGTAGTCTTCTGCCCAGTGCTACTTCAGTCAGTATCAGTTCAGCTTTCTCTTTGCATCGTTCCTTGTCTTTGGTGCCACGCTGAAAGATGTAGCCTGTTTATCACAGCTTAGTGACAGTATCAAATTTAGACAAGGTTTTAGATGGTGGAAGGAAAAAAAATTGCACAAGTCACCTAAAATACAGTCTCTACTACTGAGAAGAAGTGATGGAAAAACAACACCTACATAATTTTAAACAGTAACCCTGAGTTAATGAATTAATTAACGCTTCATTTAACTCTAGGACCAGGCTTCCCAGCGAGGTAGCTGAAGCCCCATGCCACTTCAAGAGGCATCTGGATACTGCCAACAGTAACATCCCTTAACTTTTGGTTAGCCCTCACTTGGTCACGCGGTTGGAATGATTTTCATAGGTTTGTTCTGTTCTGTTCTCTTGTTTTCTATTTCAAAATTCCAAAATAAAAGCATTAATTCAGCTTATTCAGATGTCCATTCATTCAATGATGTCTACATTTTTTTAATACAAATCAAAACCTGGATTCTAGTGCATAGTTAAGCTTTACCTTCCTTTTTTCTTTTTTCCTTACCTGGTAGTTTCTATCACTTTCGTATTCTATCACTGCCCTTAGCCACGATATGCTTTGTTCCCCTGTCCTCCTCCACAAAGGAATCTCTTCATCATCACCTTCTCTTTTTAGATAAACGCTTAATAATCCGGTCCCAGCTCCATACATGTGATAGAAAAATGTCAAGCATTGTTTTCCAGAGGTCCCTCTTAGTGATCTTGAAATTAGGTATGCTCTCTGTCCATAGACCATGTTGGATGCCTCTATATACATGTAGTATCCTTAAAAAGACACACAATCAAATATTAATAAAGAACAATACATTCTCTCAACCCGTTCATTAGCTCGATGTACTCATTACACAAAAACCCATGACTGAAATTCTTGAGAAGGAAAATTACATGATAAACTATTTGTGAATTGCAATATTTGCAATACTGTAATCCTTGTGTTCTGCAGTAATTAAAATGCTTGTGAATGCTAATATAAGAACACTAAAAAAAAAAACACAACAATTTTATATCCAGTGAAATATGCAACATCAGAAAGCAATGCAGAGTAAGAAAACAAACCATATTTGTTCTGAAATCAGGAATATGCTTGTTTAGGCTATGTGTAGGAGCCAGTGCTACTAACCAAGCAAATGAACAGAAGTACCTCTTTTAAATCACATATGACATCAGTAATATTTTCCTTCTGTGATCAAGATGCAAAGACGTGAGTGAGTAAAACTGGATTACCTAGAATCCACAAATCAATGAAAAATCGTCACAAATTCTGATCTTTGGAAAAATTAGTCTTTAATTGCTGGCAGACAACTTATTCCCCCTGCTTTCCGAGATCCATCATTTAGTGATTTCCAACTAAGGAAGGGTCCAGTCTGAGGTGTACGGTAAGACTGAAAAACATCCCCACATCCCCCCTGCTGCGCATGGCAGCTGTTTTGTGTTGTGAGAAGTACACCCCACCAGCAGGTGCTGAATCCAGATTTTGCAGCAACCCTTCCTACAGCCCCACTGCTCCCTATTGGCCACGTTGGAAAGGAAACGCTGTCCTTCTGCCACTACAACTGCAGGAGTCGAGATGGACCCCAGGAGGGAGGAGAATCGTGAGGACCAGTGAAGCAGGAGGAAGACTGAGAACAGCAAGAGCAGCCGATAAATCTGTCTCAGGATCCTGAAAGCCCTGTTACCTAAACAAACCCATGCTGAAGTCATCCTCTAGGCAGCGCTGTAGTTTGGTGGTCTGCAGCACTAGAGAGAAAGGGTGAAAAGGATGAGTATCTGCAGCTGCAGATCTGTAAAGAAAAGACTATTTGCTGTGTGCTGGAGAACTCCCTAGGTTTTTTATTCCAAACGTAGTGCAAGTGGCTCCACGAATTTTGATACTAACTATGCTTGAGAGTTATCTGAGTTAGAAATCAAAACCTACAGCTCATACTACAGCATAGTAGAGTATCTTGCCTTAGTTCTAAGGCCTGAATCATGTTATAAACTGTTTGAAAGATTATATTAGCTCTTTTTTTGTGAATTTGAATCCACGTATTTCTACAGCACATTTTACTGCAAATGCATGATACAAGGAATAAATGTTTATGTTGCTGCAAACATGTTTTCCTGTCACAGGCCAAGCTTAAAAGATTTTCTTGCTTCACCAAGAATACAAACTATCAGTCTCCAATCTCGCAATGCTTAGTAAAACATATAAACTGGAAATGGGTCTGAAGTCAGTTTCTGTCTTAGAAACTAAGAAACACATTCTCTTCATTCTGCAAGCAACTCTTCTAATGTGTTGCTCCTTTAAGGATATTGACTTTGGAAACAGGAGAACTAGAATATTGAGTATTTGAAAGAGGAAAAATGGTATTACCTAGGGAATATCCCCATGGGAAAAAAAAAAAATAAAAGCAAACCTGAATGTTGAATCACTTTACAGAAGTGAGTTTCAGTCACCTATGAAAACAATTTGTGTGTCAATATTTTTAGTGTGGTTTATTCCTTCCAGCTTATATTATGCAGAAGAGACTGCAGGTGGTACAGACATTGGCCTCTCTCCAAGATTGTCACCCACATTTCAAAAAAACCGTCTCAAATAAAGTTCAAAAGCTAGCAGGAAAAATTCTCACTAACTTACTTGTTATTACATACCTACTTGATGCAGAAAAGCTGGGCAGTGTGGGTAACAAAGACTTAAAGAAAATTAGTTCAATTCCTAAATGTGACAGTTTTTCAAATATTGCATTGGAAAAGTGACAAGAATTTCAAGATTCCCTTCTGAAAATCATTTCACAGCATTAAGATATCATTATTGGGAAAATGTTCTTGTTTCATACTTAGACTACATTTAGTAGTCTAATGAGCCAATAGAGCTCACCAGAATGTGCTCAGGTTTGTAAGTGAAGCTTCTCATTTTTATTTCAGAAAATGCAAGAGGAATTTCAAGCTTTAAAACTTACCTATGAAGTTACAAATTTTTCTACTTAGAATCTTCACTGTTTATAACTGACAGTGAAGTATGTAACTTCTTGGCACTCAGAAATTTCAATACTAACTGAAATATTCCCATCTGCATTCTCAATTCCACATGGAGGACTTAGGCTGTACAGCCCCAGACATCACAAATCTGTCTCTGCAGTGGATGTCCATACTTTGCTGAGGGTGCAGCTATAGAGATTTTGCTAGGAGGTAAGAAAGGGACATTTTGCTGAATACACACAAAGTCATGTTTTTACATAAAGAGATCACAAATAGGGCAAAACTCTTATTTAATTAACTGGAAACAATTGTTTTCCAGATTATTCAATTAAGCTTGAACAGAGCAAGATTTCAGATGCACAGTTGAAATAACTATGCTGGATGTGATTTACACTCAGTCACAGCTGACAGTAATAGTAGTTCTTGGTAACACTTTGAACAGGTCAACCACTTAAATAGCCCAGACCAGGCTGATAGCTGCAGGGAGTGAGTCAGCCTGTCTGCCACTGACTTTGTTCTTTGTTGAATGAATACTTTCCCTTGTAGATAAGGGCAAATCCAAGGCACCCTGAGTCTTCTGAAACACACATAACGATTTGAAGTTCACAAGTCTTAGGGCAGTTTCATCTTACACCAGAGCCAGTGGAAGCATTGCTGAGGTCTTCTTCTGCAGGAACACAAGTGCCCAACACAGAAATGCAATTCGTAATTTGCAAAGGTCACTGGGTATGACAGTTAGGGGGGCAATTTGGATGTAGTTTCCTGTGGGCTCACTCATGGTGATGGGGGCCTCATTCACTTAAGTCCTTCAAAGAGTAAAATGGACAGTACAAAGAGTGAAGTGAGGTGACAGAACAGATTTTTAAGATAAAGGGCCTGTGGGACTGCTCCCGTATTCTTGTATTCTGTATTCTACCCATGTTTTCTTCTAAGTTCAACTTAGAAGGTGCTCATGCAGAAGAGCTGAGGTTTACCTACTTGTTTGCATTTTTGCTTTAGGGAATATTTACATAAGCTAAGGGTTGGAAAATGGCTCTTCTGAAGGGCCAGGAAAGCCACCCTGTGCTTTTTTTCTCCCGAAGGAAAGGGCTACTTTAGGACATGAAGACTGAATTCTCCACTTGACATGCAGATTAAACATCACATTCTCTGGAGGGTCCTAATGAAACCTGTTTACTCCATTTTATCAATAAATGTTGTGAATAAAGAAGTAAACACTTCCTGTTTTCTAAGTTACCATCCCAAAGCATTTTGATTAATCCTTAATCTCTGCTCAGAAAGTTCAATGTGAAGCTTAACTCACCTACCCCGGTAGTGTGGTCCCCTTTTGGTCCAGTGTAAGAGGTAGGAGTTGGACCCCGCCTCCTTTGCCAGCTCCCACGACCTCTCTTCTTCTGGGTAAAAATACACTCATCTTTTTCAAAAGTACACTCACCAGGAGAGGGTGGCAAGAGATCTATAACGAGATGTTATTGTTTAAAACTGCAAATATATTAGACAGATGTATGGAGAAATGACACAAACAATGTATTGCTTCTGCTGAGATCACTTTTGTTTACCTAGCAACAGATCAGTCACAAACCTACAAAATCAGTTCCAAACTGAAATACAGGGTTTTATTTCATTTTCTTCACAGCTCTAGGGAAATCTGTGCCTTAGTATGGCTCACTAACATCTACTAACATCCTTTAAAACATCTCCTGCAGTTTACTTTAGCTCTTCCTCCAGAACAGCTCTACCAGCCTCATTTCCTTTGCTCCTGTGGTACTCAAGACAGTTTAATAAGCTCCAGTATGTGTAACATGCATTGACAGATCCTGCCACAGAAAGAGGCTTCTGTGATCTAAAATCAGCTGCCACAGTGAGCCCTGCTGTATTACCCTGAAATCCGATTCACCACCACATGCAACAGACTGCAGAGCTGCAATTACTAGAGTATTTTCAGGGTTACAACCCCATTAGATGATGTAGAAGAAAGTATGCCAAGAATTCCAGTGCTTGCCAGTATGACAATAAAGAAGTCTCTGCCCTCTGCTGTTCTGCCACAACTTGAATTTGTGCTTCAGGAGCAGGCACCGTGCGCTGCCTTCCCTCTTGGCGAGAAGGGAGCATACACACCTCACATACTGAGGGTGGGTTCTGTACTTTTTTGCTGCCACCAGTGAGAAGTGCCAGCATGCATCTAAATATGTGTTCTGCACCTTTGGCTCACTTACAACTTCCTTAGGATCTACAGAGACACAAAGTAGGCAAATGTTGGATATACTTTAGAAAAAAGTTATGTAGCTTTGTACGTGTGACTTGTCCCTCTTCAGTGATGGCACTAGCTGTTTGGATGCATGAATCCAATTAGAACAGGTCATAAAATAATTATTACTACATGGCGGTATAAATGGCACGGTCAGTCTGCCTCATCACCATTTCAAAGGCATGGCTGTATTCCAGAAGTGAATGGGATTACAGACTGTGCCCGTCTCATCAGAACTGCTTCCAAATTAGGATACAATCGTTGCATTATCGAACCTCAAAAAGCCCCAGAAGAGGGAGCGTGAGTGAGTTCAGAGGTGTTACCCTGTGCATGTCAGAGGGTAAAGACTCACTCAGAAGCACTGAATTCCTCCCACTGCGGGTGGAGAGTTGGACTCCTCTTATCTGTGTTCATTACAGAGCTTCAGCTCAGGTAAGAGACTGTATCTTGGCCTCACACAGCTGTATTCCTGGGCAAAAGGAATAATGTTGTGCTTTCAAATTTGTGCTTTTGTGTGCATTTCTCCTAATGCAATTGAAAACTGCTTTCCTGTCTGCTTTTTATAAAATGGTCTTGAAGGTGTGATCCCTCATATACAGCTGCACTGGAGTCAGTGAAGTTAATTAGGGGTTAACAAAATCTGGTCCTCACTCTACGTGTGATACTCCAAAAATTGGATTAATGCAATACCTACTGAAAAACACACAAACAACAACAACAACAAACAGTGAAATGAAGCCAGTTGTAGGAAAGGCTTGGGAAATGATGGCATAAGATATGTTCTTATTAAAAAGGGGAGAAGGTAGCAGCTGTTGGATGACAAATACACTTGGTCTTACCAGCAGCCTGACAGCTTCCCAGGCTCAATGATATATCATCCAGTGCCACAAGTCCACAGTCCCAGAAGCTCTTACACCAACTCACAAAGACAACCTGCAATAATGAACAAAATTTCATGCATCTCCAACAAAAGCTGGCACTGCTTGATGTCTGAAAATTTAGCTTGATTTTTTTCCAAGAGCTTTAATGATTTAATACTGACGGTACAGAAAGGATGAATTGACTTTGATATGGCACATACCAGTGGTGCCTAGATGACTGACATATAAAATTCAGTGGATTTCAGATATTTTCATTAAATAGAAAATCGTTTCCCATTTTTATAGTCAAATGATATATTTCTGCATATGATTGACATTTTACTAGAAAAGTAAGTATTTTTTAGAGCATGTCAAAGATGACTCACTAAAGTTGTTTTTTTTTAATTTTTATGTCTCCAACATAACAGCATTAAGTCCTCAGCCATCCTGTCCTTATAACCCATGGAAAGACAAATTTCAAAGAGTAATGCAGAGTGATGGCCAACAGGGATGGCCCCGGCAAACTGCAAGCAAACAACACCAGAAAATGAGGTGAGACTACTGCACAAAATGGGATTCTTCAGAAATAACAGAAGGCCACAATATCATAAAGCAGAAGGCTGAAAATGCTAAGCATCACTCACAGTGTTTATCTGGGTTTCATGAAGATTAAAAGTGGTATCCAAGTTGTTTTATTTGACTACACATTAATTCTGCCATGGAAAATACAAGTCACACACAGGATGGCAATGTAAAATGCAGAGAAACCACTAGAACTGTCAGATTCCCAGCTGCTTTTCTCCCAGGGGTAACATAGAGCCGTTCAAATTACACAAGACACAATAAGGTTTATTTTGTGAAAATACTGCTAACAGTTTTCTTTGCCTAAATACTGCAAACCATCTGTCTGACCATTGAGGTTATGACCATAATTTGGGTGGAGCTCTTCAGACCAATTCCTTTGTGATGAGATCTGTGCTAGTGACTGGTGACAGATGAGTGTCCCTTCCAATATTTTAATATTCTGGAACAACTGTAAACATCTCAGCTACCTTACCTGAGGTTGAATGATGATTGATAGTTTCATGCTGATGGAAAAAGACTGTACTTTATGCATTACCCGATATATCCTCCATTAGCAGGGTTGGTAAACACCTTCAATATAGTCATTAATACAGGGTTTTTATAGACTGCTTTGTTTAGCCATATTTATTTACCTATCTGTTATAAAACAGCCTCTGGTTTTTACATTCAATGCTACCAATCCCACTAATGAGGATTATCTATCCTGCAAACTGCTGGAAGTGTGGACTTGTGGACTGCCCCAGCACAGCATGCACAGCTGTTCTGTGTGGTGGCCTAGTAGTGGTCCCATGTGTTTCTCTATAGATCTGCTCTTCTTGCCCTAAGGTTTGATATGGCAAAGATCATTACCTAATTTGTAAGGTTACTCTCAAGAAACAGGCATAATTTGTTAAAAAACATGGTAGCATCTTGTGGAATAAGGAATACAATAAATACTTATGTCCAGTGGACATCATTCACCAGACTGTTAATAAATGCATTCTGGTGAATGCTGTATTAAACTAAAGACATATTATAGTCCTAAACCCAAGGATCTTCAGAAAACCACACATGAAAGGGTGAGATCAGTCCTCATTTGTGAAACAACATTTCCGCACTGTGGAATCATGTTCTAACTGATGTTTTCCTATTGACATCACTGGGAGCAGGATCAAGTTCTTTATTCTTAAATTGCAATAATTTGTTCCATACAAGGTATGTAATTACCCGCTGGATCCTGCAGAAAGAGCTCCATTTCTAAATCATCACAACAATAACTTGCTCTGTCAAAGGCCTTTGAATGCATACCCTTTGTACAAGGCATCAGTTTGCTTCAGTGACACATGTGAACTTGCTTGGTTTTGTCATCCGCAGCATTAGCATTACCAGTTTCTTTGCTTCCTTTTTGTGATACTGGGTGACACGCTGCCACAGGAAGACTTTATAACTGCACAGGGGTAGCAAGGAGGAATGAGTGCTTGGGCATGCAGCATTTCCAATATTAGCAGCAGCGTTACATGCTAACATTGTTCTTTGTGCACTTGGCTGATTTTACTGTTTTGTTCTCGATTTAGTTTTAAGCAATGACGTAGAAAATATTTTTCTTCACAGATCAGATCTATTCACTCTTCTTTTGTCCTGAATGTCTTTCTTTTTAACTTTCTAATTTTTTTTTTTTTTTCCTTAAATGTCTGTTTTGGTGCATGTGAACTTTACACCCCAAAATTCTATGAATTCAGATTTCACTCAGCCACTCACTTTCATCCCATGTCATATTTCTGAATCTGACAGCACTAGCATCTCATAGTTCTCTACATCTGCTCAATTTATATTAGAATAATTCCTAGGTCAGTTATTCAAAAAAATAATTTTTTATGAAGCTATCTCATCTCTTGGAGAAGAGAATAAGGGGATCTTTGTGCTCCACGCATGCTTCTCTTCATAAAAAATGACAACTGAACAATATACTAACTGTTTCAAAATGTAACAAATCTTTCTGGACTTGCATGCTATCTTGGAGACTAAATTAAAAACATTATCAAATGCAGGCAGTTGTTGCCTGTGTTACTGAGAAAATAAAATACGTTTTTCTCTCATGTCTTTTTCTTGTTCCAGAAAGAAGACATATCCAGGCTATTAGTTTCCTTCCAAATCCTTGCCTTGATTTCTGGAGGTTGATCTGTTCATTTTGCAGTACTAAATCAATGTTCCTGGCACGCACAATCAAAAGTATCAATGATCAATTCTTACAATTTGTCTTAGCCTGTATGAGTAAGGAGTAACACCAAATGAGAACAACTGGTAGAATTAGCAAGTCTTCACTTCTTTCATGCCATGTTGTTAGGTTGTGTCTCAGACACAAAGTTAGGTGGAAAGGATTTCCAATCCTTACCTCTCTGCATCTCTAGAAGTTGATGAGAGCTGAATGTATGCACATGAAATGAACCTTCTTTCAGAAGAGAAGGAGTAGAGCATGCAAAAAAAATACAAAAGGGAAAATTGGGGAATTTATAAAAAGAAGGTTGGAAGGGGCTGAGAAAAAGACAAAAAGATAAACGATGCTCCCAGATCCCTTCTTCTTCATCCCAAGTATAGCTGTTGCTGAATCAGAAAACCAGACCAGCTGAAATATATATATTTAAAAAAAAAAAAAAAAAGATAAGATGGGACAACTGCCAAATCCAATGTCTGAAAATCAACCCAAGCCTCTGCAGAAAATTAATTTACCTGATTTTATCCTGCTGAACATTCCCATGTTTAAACTACATACTGTTTATCTGTATAGATACAAAACTCACTCTGTCATTTGGACACTTATTTAGATTCACTCAAAATCCAGGACTTAAGCAATTATAATGATGTTCTGGTTGACTGAGTCTGTTTTTGAGAGGAGCAACTGTTGTAGCTTCCTCGAAGTGACACAAAACTCTGCATTATGAAATCCAAAAACAATGTGAGCATCCAAAACAAAAGTGTGACATGACACAAGAAGCAGTCAAGATGTTTTCACAAAACAGTGAGTCTAACTATCTCTTCAGTCATTTACAGTACTGCACAGCTATATAAGCACACAACCAATTCTGGCAGATGGAATCAGTGCATCATGCTGATTGCCCCAGGGCTGTTTCATACAAATGTTATCAGTGTAGCCCAAATTATTTTTGACTAGTTTGATTAAACTAGATTTTAAATGGCTTGTTTCTATTTGGCTTAAATAGATACAGACTCATTTATCAGTAGCAGAAATATGCTACTAAGCCAAAGTTAGAATGTCTGCCACTCCTGCGTCATTTTAAATGAACTGATTTAAAATGGCACTTGCCATGCAAGTTCAGTTTCTTGCCATATAAATTTATCATTTCTCCAGTGGGAAAAATAATGTATCGTGAAAATATCTACATACATAATGGAATAACACTGGTAATAAGCTTGACATTTGAACCAATATTTTTTAAAACCCTTCCTATCCAAAGGAAATGGTTTGCAGGAATAAACCAGTAAAAGAGCAACATACACCTGACAGAATAGGCTAAGGCCACAGAGTGTTAATGCTATATCTATTTCATGTCTAGTAGAGACTAGACTAACCCTAACCCTGCAAATAGTGTATGTGAGACACTGATATCCTTCACTGTCCCCCAGACCCCTCCTTGATCTCCAGTAATCTCCTATTATGGCTCTATTCTCTTGTCAACAGACTTGGTTCTTTGGCTCTTTTTTTTCTAAGAGAGAAAGAAAGGTTCACACCTTTAGACTGAAGTATCTTACCAATGATGTGGCATGGTAATATTACAATACTAGTTACCCAGAACAAAAACTGAGCGAAAAAAGGGAAATGAAAGTTAACTGTTGCATACAGCAAAGGATGCTAATATCTATTCCAATGGATCTCCTTGCTTAGCTTCTGTGAAATACTTTCTAATACTTTCTAAACTGAATAAGTTTTAGATTGTTTTTCCCATGTGCCATTTTCATTACTATTTATCAAACACTACAGACAGCAGGGTGCATATTTTGCAAGCTCTTTACAGACCTTAATGTCAGCTTAAAAGGGCCTTTCTAGTGACTGCTCCTTAAGAAGTATCTTGTGTTAGGCATGAGAGAATGCATGAGAGAATGCATGACAGCCAGGGCAAAACACAAAATGCAACCAACTCCAACTTCTTTAAACTGTCTATTTTAATATGGAAGTACTGATCAAGAGTTCTGTTAGAACAGCACTTGAAAAAACCACCTTTATTTGGAACAAGTGACAGATTTTCAGAGGAGGAAGTGAACACTAAGATATCAGCCCTCTTCTATCTCATACTGGTGAGCTAGCCATAGCAATTAGGAGTATATCACATCCTGCACTAGTCATTTACATATGACTTTGATCGACAAATAGAAGATACAAACTTATTAGCAGGAAAGAGGAATCTAAGAATTAATTAATTTCATCAATACAGATTAAAAATACTACTCGTTTCATGGGCATTTCCATAGGTAAAAAGAGAGAACAAAGGTGCAAAGACCCTCTTACCACAGCGCAGGAAGGCAGAGAGTGGGGTGATAATGGATGTTTAGGGAAAACAGCACAAGAAATGAATCAACCATAAGGACATTTGTACCTTGCTATAATATGTTTTAAAGCATTTGCTGAATTGGAGGTCATACTTATACTGGTCTCTGCAAAGTCTATTTTCCATGAATTTGCCCAATTCCTCTTAAGATGTGTTCTTGGCCTTCAAAGCATCCTGTGGCAAAGGATTTCAATGCCTAGTGATTCCCTAGAAGTCCTTCCTTTCACTTGTTTTAAAACAAATAACTATTGAAGTGCAAAACTCATTCACATGATTCACGTTCTCACAACTGCAACTAAAATTGGTAATGGATGATGGGTGAAAATGAACAGGTGAACTCAAAGAAGGAGAACAAGAAAAGCAGACTGAAAGAATAAAAGCCCAAGAAACACTGCCACATCTAGCTTCAGGCAAATAGAGAAGACTATTATGATGCCAACTATCTTCCCAAGGATTCATTATTCATTTTTTAAGTCTTTGAAACTCTATAGCGGTGCATCAAAACTATAAAAACTTGCATGAATGAATAAACAACATGAGATGTTCACTTTATAAAGCCAGAGCACCAGAAAGGTGAATCAAATCTAGTAGAAATGACCAGAACTAATGTGAGTAGATCAACCTGCAGTCAAAATTTCATTTTAGTACAGACTTATAGACTTCATTTGTAGTTGCTTAAGAGGGAGATTTTTTTGTGGCTGCAAATGAACACATACAAGATTAAAATGCTAATTCACATTCTATGGTGCATGCAAATATCTCCATGCTGTGCATGGTTCATGTGAATTTGTCTTTTTGTTAGCAATGACCTTTCCCTGCCATGTATTAACCTGGAAAATCAGTTTCAGTTCATTTAATCAGATCAAAAGATTCTACAAATTTCAGAGTCAGATTTTATGCTGCCTCAATGATATTGATATGACAAGGTATGGCAAGTTTCATTTATTTTAACAACTGTTAGGAAGATCTTCTGTCTCACATTGATTTTCTGGGTATTATAGAGTACAAAAACACTTTTTATGCAAAGCATCATGGGTGTGTAAACCAACTCAAACACAGAGCATCTCAGATACGAACAAATCGGGATTTTAAATGTCTTGCCTTCTCACCAGTTTTATATAGCATATGTATTTGCAGTATGTTTGTATATATGTATGCATATATATAATGTATGTACAAACATTTATTACTTGCTCAGTTGGATCATACCCACCTAACTTTTTCAACGCAGTATTTTGAAAGCGTAACACAAGTCTGTTGGCCAGCACAAGCTTCCTGCTCACAGAATTCAAGCCAACAATCTGTGCCAGACTGCAGTTAGCTAATTCCAAAAGAACTTGCAAAAAAACATTACACAAACCAGAAGGTGAAAATCTGAGTCGTTTTACTGGCCTGATGCAAAAAACAAAACAAAACAAAACAAAAAAAAAAACCCACATAATTAAAGCATATCAGAAAGCCTTCCCTTTATATTGGGAAGAAAGATGAAGGGCACACATGTTCAAGTATTTTCTGGCTTTACAAGCATCAGGACTCTTTGACCTCGCTAGCCATTAAGTAGCAGCCAGGAGACTGTTTACTGTTTCCACAGTCTGTGAGCCAATCTACAAGTTGCACCCAGTAACCAAGCACTTGACCAGCTAAACTACTGTGCATGCCTACAGCTTCTTAAGTCTAGACTTGATGCACCTCAGAAAAGAATGTGCTAGTCACATCAACCGCTACATCTCCCGGAGAAAAGGCGGAAGCTCCATCTTATTCTTATTCCCACTTCACCCCACTGAAAGATTTTCCCTTGTTATTAACAATCCCAAGATGCAATGATTTCAGCTCAGATTTTCCATTCTGGGTGCTTGCTTCAGGCTTGTTTTGGAAGATTCAAGCCAAAACACTTCCATCATTTCCAAGAATAAGGCTAGGAAAAAAGGCATTATTTTGCCCCTATTTCAAAAATTCTTTGGCTTGGGCACTACTAGACACTGGAGCAGGAGAATGAAAAGTGTAAGGGTTTGGTCTTTGTGCCAGAATTCTGTTTTCTTTCAATTCATTACTTTGAATTTAAAAAAAAAAAAAAAAAAAAAAAAAAAAACCTATAATTTATAAGAACTGGGACAGGCAGGGCAAAAAGATGGGACATGGACAGGATTTGAAGCTAAGAAATGGAACAGGCTGAGGAGCCAGACAAGATAGAGAATGTAAGTGGGGGTTGCCACTCCCCAGGCAGGACTGAAAACACAAAGATTTATCTATGAGATACCAAAGGACATGAGTGAAGGTTGAAGGAAACAGGACAAGTGACATTAAGTTCACTGAGCAGATATGGGTCTCATGTGTGACATTTCACTCTCCAGAGCCAGAAGGGTAATCCCTGAGTTGCTGGTTCACACTACTCCTTGTAGCCAGGCAAAAGGTGCTCTGATGCACCTCTGACACAGGCCTACGAGGATGGCAAGTGACTGTCCCCTGTCAGCTATTTCTTTAGGTCCCCATACACATATCAGGTTCGTTTTCTGGGCTGTGAGGGCATGCTGCTGACTCACATCGAGTTTGCCATCCACCAGTACCCCCAAGCTCTTTTTGGCAGGGCTGTGCTCTTATCCTTTTGCTCCCCATCTTGTACTGATAGTGGGTGTTGCCACAACCAACTTGTAAGACCTTGCGTGTGGCTTTGCTGAATCTCATGAGGTTCTCCTAGGCCCATTCCTTGATCCTAGGTGTGTCTGAATGGCATCCTATCCCTCAGGCATGTCGACTGTACCACAGCTTGATATCATCTGCAAACCTGATGAGGATGCACTCAATTCCACTGTCAATGTCACTGATGAAAATATTAAAATGTATTAGCCTCAGTACTGACCCCTGAGAGACACTACTTGTCACTGATTTCCATCCAGACTCTGAGTCATTGACCACTACCCTCTGGGTGCAATTATGCAACCTGTTCCTTGTCCATCAAACAAACCACCCACTAAATCCATATCTTCATATCTTTCCAATTTGGAGAAAAGGATTTTATGGGTGACTGTGTCAAAGGCTTTACTGAATTCCAAATGGATGACATCAGTGGCTTTTTCCTTGTTCACTGATGCGGTTACGCTATCATAAGAAGCCACAGAGTTGGTCATGCAGCACTGGCCCTTGGTGAAGCCATGCTGATCGTCCCGTATCACCACCCTGTTTCATATGCTTAGCACAGCTTCCGGGACAATCTGTTCCATGATCTTCCCCAGTAAGATAATAGGCTTCATCCCCCAAAATACGTAGTTATTTTAGTAAGAGGTATCCAAATTATGAAATGCTGAAAACTAGAGTTCTCTAAAGCCCCGTGAGTCTCACCTTTTGTAATATCTACAGAATGAAACTTTAACAGAAACATTTTGCAACTTGTTTCTGTGGTAAAGAAGACTTTCTCATCACAAGACCCGAAGAACCTGCTGCTGGTTTTTGAGAATTGCTGGAGGCCAAAGTACTCTGCTGCTGCAGAGTATGGTGTTTCTTCTCTTCTGCAAACCTTTGGTCTCAGAAGCAGAGCAGATATTCCTTTGACTTCATTCTTCTCTACTGTACTGCTCTCCCCATCTATTACTGCCTACAGGCAGACTAATAGCTACAGACATAAAAGCTGCAATTCAAAGAAAGTTTTAAAAGCTTTCCATCCCAGGCAAGCTTCTTCTCAAGTGTTTTAGATACTTTTATTTCTAGGAAAACATAAAAATAGTTCTTCATAAATCCACATTGGAAAAGATTTTCCCTGTAGATGTCATATGCTACAAAAAACCTGCCACCTCCAAGGCTATAAACCATGTGTTAACAGTCATGTTCAGCTGTCATCACTACTCATACATTGTGTTACACTGTTGAAGCTACTGAAGCTTTTTAGAAGCAATTAAAAAAAATAGAAACAGCAGATAGCAAAAACATGTTATACACTTGCCTTTTTAACCATTATCTTCTCATGTTTTTACTTTTTAAGAAAAAAGAGGGAGAGAGAAATACACTTTTCTGCAAATATTTTGGGATGACACTATAAGAGACTTTTCTGTTACTAAGTTTATGGGCAGTAACAGTACACTATAGGGATTGAAAGGGCATTAGAAATTCTGTTATATGTGTGAAAACATAAAAATTTTTTAAAATCATCTATTTTTAATTTAACAGTTAGCTAGAAGAAAGTACCCAATAATTATGATTAAATTGTAATGACAATTATAATTAAACTTTCAGTGTAAATTTCCTTTCTAACACACTGAAGCAACTTTCCTCTTAAACTTCCTTTGTACAGTGCATTTATTTTCAGGCAGAACTTTTTTTTTTCCAAAAAAAGTTACACTAAATAACTTTCTCATGTCAAAAATTATAGTGGGGGAAATGCTTAAGATATTTATAATTCAGAAATACTTTTGTTTCAAGAGTTACTAGCAAAAACTTTCATTTGTATGTGACATAGCATTATCCCATTCTGAAAAAAAAGCTGGATTTATCTTTGTAATCTCAGGTAGTGAACCATCTGGTTCTCCTCAGAAGACTCAAATATAGTGAAAAACCATTACAGAAATCAGAATAACTGCAGAAATAGTTGCATCCAGTCAGCTGTCATCTCAGTTCCTCAGTGAATACTATGACTGCCCTTCATGACATAAAGTGCACCGCTCTGCTTCTGCTACAGAGCCCCTTCACTGGGGCTAAGGGAAGCAAGTCTGCAAAGAACACTCCTCCACCACACCGCTTAGGGAAATTTATTTCACGTTGAACGGGCACCTCACTCATGTTTACACCTTGGATAAGAAAGTTATCTGAAAGGAAAAGACAAGGAGAACCTCCATCTACAACACTGCAGGTATAAAGAGCTGGCTCTTACCTTGCAAGGCATTGGTTTTTTGAAGGAGATTTCAGCTTGAGTCCAAACACCCCTTGGAGAGTCCAAGACAGACCAGATTTTCTCTTGAACCACATGATTCTCCTCAAAGATATAAACAGCAAGGGTGCCACTCATTTTGAAAAAGCCATACAAAGCGTAATAAAAACGCAGACAAAACTGCAAGTTTCCTGGCAGGGTTGGGCCATACAGACGTCCAATGTACCCAGGTTGTGATGTAAACTTTGTGTTTGCCAGCAAGTAATAACCTGCAAGACAGTGTAACTAATGAGTATTTCTAATAAACAATTAGCATAGCTTGTTTGCTGTTAAAACAGTTTCAGACTTTAGTGGTAGAAAGTTTATACTGGCAGGAAAAAGACAGTGAAAGGAAATAAGATTTTTTTTTTTCTAAAAACAAACTTGCTATTTCAAACTAAACTGGTACATGAGTAAGTTCTAGAAATAAGCACTCTTCAAATATACATGGAAATATTCTCTTGGTGGAAAGCCAATTATTTCAAAGCTTCTGCTCTGAGACCAAAGAATAAAGGATGGGATACAGTGCATGTTGTGAAACAGGTGAGGCTTCATCCTACAGATAATAACCACAAACACTCTATGTGAGGGGAGGTAATGAAAAGCACTACATCAAGTGCGGAAGACATTTTCAGAACTTAATGACAGGCTTTTCACTATGTGGCTTCACTGCATAAAATTTCACATTTTTCCCTTAAAGACTCCAACTGTCATACGACTGGAAGAGCTAAGAGCCCAGCTCTCCTCTACGTTAAAATCAGTGCATTACACTACTATCATATTTGCCTGCATGTTTTTGTGGACTCATAGTGACTGCAGATCAGTGCAGCTCAGTGACATTACTCTGATTGATGGCCCACATGACCTTTTGACCAGTGACATTGCCACTTTGCATGCAGGGTCAGGCACAACCAAAGTGCAGTGGCAAGCAATTACAGCAAGGCAAATTAACCAGTATGTCAATGATGTTACTGAAATGTGAAAATCTAAACAATGCATTAACATTAACAAACAACATTAACAAACATCCAGTTTGACTCTTCTTGTTCAGATTTACCAAACCCAGTAGTGTGATCTCCTGCTCTATACACATTGCGCTTCACTTTCACTCTGCTCCATCCTGGGACATCCTTGTGATCCTGGTAAAAATTACACAGATCTTCCTCAAAATTGCAGCCTGCATCAGCAGGATTGAAGAGAATTCCTAAAAAAACAAATGCACATGTTCTCTTAAGAAGAGCATGGTACAACAAGCATAAGTTCTCAAAGCAGCAGTATGCCCTAGTATACCGTTTCATCTTTCTCAGCATTACAGAAGACAAGAATACATAAAGTTGTTACATGCATATGATGAAAAATCACACTGACCTCAAGGTATCTATTTTCTATCACAAGTGGATGCTATTTACTTATATTTTTGCTGAAGGAAGTAAAGAAAAACCTCCCTGGCAGTCCTTATAAAATATAAATACATTACAGACATAAAAAGATTTCTCCTTCAGGACATAATGCACAAAGACATCCAAATGTCTGTTTTCATCCTGCTCCCTTATTCAAAAGATATTTGGACAGAATGATTGTGAGTGTGTACACACTTGTGCATACCTGTCAGATTTTCATTTTGGTTCCCAAGGGGATAACCTTCCAAAACAAACATTTAGAATTTTCTTGAACAGCACCTCTCTAAAAACCATTTTGTAGTAATGCATAATGTGCATGTATATACATGCTTTGAGTACATAAGTCAAATAGGTTTTGGGTTGCATACCACCTCACAGCTATTGACCTCTCTCGTTTTAGCTCTACAGCAAAAAATGCTGCACTGCTTATTAAAAAGACCTGAGGACAGCTCTCAGTTGATCTGCACTCAAATGGTATTTTTAAGTAAAAATTCTCTACCTCTTTAATGCCCCTCCAGCTGACTGCTGCAGGTGCTGAGTGAAGGAGGGGACAAACCCAAAGTGACCATGCAACTTTAGGCTAGGTCAGCAGTCTGGACCCTGTGAGCACTACTCTATAGCTACATGCACGACCCCTCTGCATGGAGGCTAAGCAGGATTCCTAGGCAGTGGCAAGGACACAGGTGATCAGCTTCAGGACAAGCAAAATTTTGAGATGCCTTCAGTTCTTCATTCTCAGATAAGCCAGAACTATGTGCTAACGAGGTGTTTTTCTCTGTCTACAGAGAAATAAGTAGCAGCGCTGCCTCTGCATTCATCACCAGAGAAAGTGTACAATGGGAGTTACTACCTGGCTCATGAAGCATGAGCACTTATCTTTAGATTCAACTTTTATTGAGCATGTATACTACTCTAGTATCTTTCCCTCCCTCAGACTACTATCAAGACCTTCAATGACCAAAACTTTTGGAAAGTTAAAAAAAAATAATGCTGTAATAAGCACCCCTGTGATTTAGTACAAGGAGAATGAACATTTCTTGCTTCTTAACATCTCCACTTAAAGTAATTTGAAACAGGAAGTAAATTTGAAGGATTAGCCTGAAACTAAATGTATTTCAGCAAACAAGCACACAAATGAAGGACATTAATTTCTCAAGCAGGAAAAACAAAAAACAACCCAGAAACTAAGAACAAATACAAATCAGAGCTGGCAAGCAAAGCTCTTAGCTGAGCCCACCAATTTCATCAGTTAGAGTGGATCTACACTTCGGCTATTATACCACAACAACATACTGCACAGTAGCTGTCTTTAAAGTGGAAAACACAGATGAGCACACAGATCCAATCCATGGCAAACTGCAAACCTAAGTCAGGATTTTTGTTGCAAAACAAAAAGTAGAAGAGGTATTGAGAAGATAATGGAAAATTAGACTTACTGTGCCAAGAGTGGAGGATTTATAATATATATTATAATATATAATAATATATTACTCCGTAATATGTCATAATATGCCTCCTACTGATATTTACACAGTGCAGGTAAAGCTAGAACAGAATCCAAGTGATAAAAAAGCACAAAAATCTCTTTTTTCCCCAGTCTCTTCAAAACACTAGCCAAAAATTCATGCCTGCAACCAAAAAGAATGGATGGACTCAGGGGAAAACCACTAATTTACTTCTGACAATTGCTTAGCAATAGCAGTGAAAAACAAGAACAGAATTAAGAAGCTGCACTCACAAATGTCAAAGTCCTTGGCCCCATATGCCCAAACTGCAGAGGTCGTGAGGACTTAGCTGACTTCTGCCACTGTGAAAATCTAATAAAATCCTGACAGATGTCCCACTCCTTGTGGGAAATAACACCTTTTGGAACAGCATAGACAGGAAGACATAGCTCCTGCTTTGGCTTTGAAGAACACCTCAGGGCATGTGGATGGACAAAGATATTCCCCGCATCAGCAAAAGTGAAAAGTTAAGGACTTTTACTTCCTTTACTGAAACAGCTGGGGAAAACCCAGGACATCCCCCAGCTTTCAGTCCAACACACCAGTTGCAGAACCCAGAGGTGATGTTACCGGAGGGGAAGTAGTAAGGATGGGTTTCCAGATAATTCATCAAGAGAATAGTGTTCTCTTTATCTGCTTTACAGTTCTGTCTTGTCAGTAGGGGAAGCCCAACAGGTATTGGCCAGATAAGAAAGCAGCAACTGCACAACACTACCAAACACTGGAAGTACTGCCGTTCAAGGAAGCAAAGCAAGGAAGAAAATAAGGATATTAGACAGCAAAAAGAACTCTTACCTGTCTGATTGCTGCAGTAAACCGGAGAGAAAGAAATGTCATCGAGGGCAACATAACCTCCCTTGGCACTATTGAAAGCAACTTCAAATACTACCTGAAAATAATATCATTTGTTATATCTACACAACAATAATTTTGGTACACATTCTCATTTTGCAGAATTCTGACAGGCTCTCCCACGCAGACTCTACAGCACTTCAGACAGTACTACAGGTTTGGGGACAAAATGAATTACATCACTTATTTATGATATAAATCCAACTGTGACCCATGCACCAGATCTTTGCCCATCAAAAGTCAAGGGAAAATCAAAGGAAAAGAGAACTCTTCTGCTGCCTTATGAATCATCAATTATAAACATACACTAATGTAATGATACCACAGTAAGCCAGTATTCATCCTTTATTGACTGTGATCCCAAAGCTGCCTAGTTATTATTATATCTATCTTGATCAAGAGCTAAAACCAAACTGCGTGGATTACTTTGCATGAGTTGTTGTTACTGCATTCACTTGTCTCTAAACATCCTCAGACACTAAAGTTTTCCTTTTAAAAAATCAGTTAAGAACTAGAAAGGCTATCACTTGTTTTGTTTATCACAAAATCAGACACTGCGGATATTCTGCATTCCCAAGGGACATCATTTCCTCAAGTAAGTGGAGGACAGTCCATAACTCTTGAGGAAATGTGTTAAAATTTATCTTAAGTATCAAAGCACCAACTTACAGGAAAACTCTGAGAAAAGCCTGAATCACAAGACAGCCCCAGGGACAAAACAAGGATATAAGGACAAATGCTTCCAGAGTGAGATAGCAGTGTCTGTGATGTGTTGCCCACAGATGGGAACCAAACTAGGAGAGCTGTGTAAGAAACCAGAAATATTTCCTCTAGCCAGAAGAAAAAACAGAACTTTCCTTGTGAAGTAACTGGAAGTAAAAAAAAATAAAAATTCTATAAAATAATCTCTAAAGTAATGACTATATTGGATTACATAAAAATTTCTGAAGCAGAATAGAGGCCCAGTTTGCCCAGTATTTGTTTTCAGCAGAGGTCATCTACAGAAAGAACTATAGATGCTGACAAGCTTTTGGTTATTCCCTTACACTGCACTTTAATGGATTGTTTTTTCCTTAAATTTCTCTAATCAGCTTTTGAACTGATCAAAATAATGGTACCTTTTGTATGCTGGGGAATCGAGTTCTACAGTTCAGTTGCAGTATGTATGAAGAGGTCCTCCCTTTTATTTTAAAACTGTTATCTTATAATTAAGAATCTGGAACATCAGTGCAAATTATGAGAAACAATGAACAGTCAAGCTTTTCTGTATCATTTATGGCTTTTATAAACCTCCACCACATTTTACTTCAGTCATATTTTTTTGCAGGTTGAGGCTAGAAATTGTTATTTTGTCCATGTAACTTGATTATTCCCATCTCCCCCTCATACTTCCAACAATACTCCTTTTTAAATGAAAGGATTGAAGTTATGCACTCTGCTGTATACAAGGATAGGTACCCTGTGCATTCATCCATCCTACAGTTTGCTGTTTATTCCTATAATTTCCCACATTCAAGGTGGCCATTAAGAAATAATATTTTCAGAAAATTAGCCACCGTAACTCCAAGGTCTAAGTGATCATTAAGGCTTCAACTGTTGTCTTTTTTTTTTACTTACACACCCACTGACGTATTAAGACAGACTGACTAATTTATCCCTTGTAAAGAAAGGCTGCAGTGTGGGAATTCCTCTCACATTCTTCACAGTGCATACAGATGCAAAAGACATATTTGACTTTTCTGCTTTCCAAGTTCACAAATTGGAAGTATTTGTGCACTTCCAATATTTCACCTTAACTGGAATCCCAAATACGTAAAACAAACTTCCAAATTTTGATGTGTTGCTAAAGGCTTTGTAACTCATTTTACTGAGATAAAATGACATTCCTACACATTCATTTCTGCCTGATAGAGCCTATATCTTTTTCCAACTTGCATACAACTTCAGTTCTTTGCAGAATGCTTTTTTTTAATCTTCCAGCTCTCTTCACTTCATTGCTTCACCACTCCACTTTTTGGATCCTTTAAAACATTTCTGCCAATTAGTTTTATACATTTGTTCTTATCCTCAGATATAGTAATTAAAACAATGCCCATTCTATTAGTAAATGTTGTATCTCCTGTTCCTACTATTCTCTGTTAAAGTGTTTTTTTTTTAAATCAGATTACACCTCCTTTGCCATACTATTTGAAGTACAACAGTTTCAATACAACTACTGACATTACTGTGAATGAAAGTATGTAACAACTAACAAAAATAAATTTTATCCCCAATGATTTCTGAAAATCTGTAGGGTTACACTGAATTAATGAACAGCTTCAGTTAAAGCAAGTATAATTAAAGCTGATTTACGTGTAATCCTAGTATCATCTATCTATCTATATTACTACTATATATTCATAAAAATCTGTGGATATATATAAAAAGTGTATTATATATTTTATATATTGAAGTACATATAATGTGCATATATAATGCACTGTTTATTGCAATCATTGAAGGTATTTATTTTCCAGTAAACACCAGGAGACACCATTTTATTTTTTTCTGATACTCTTTACGTTATTTCATGTTTCCAAAGACAGCTAGCTTTCACATCTAAAGCCACTGTACCATTAGGACCCAAGTTTGGACATTGTCTCATGAAAACAAAGACTGAATTGCAGAACTGTCTAAGTCAGAGAAAACAGCTAGAATATTTTTGTTTTGTTCTGTGGCACAAGGCATGCACAATGTTATGATACTCAGTATCCTCAAAAATAGATCATCAATGGACAGAAATATGGGACTAATATACAGAACTAATTGTACAGGAATGACTGTTTTACCTCCATTGGGTATGGTGCACTGAAGTCGACTTCAGCTAATGCCCAGTCTCCAGTCGAGGCGCTGTCTGTTTTCCAGATCTCTTCATAAGAGCCACTCATATCTCTCAAGTAAAGAGTAAAAACAATGCTGCTCTCCTGCTTAAGTTGGTAATAAAAAGATAAGCAGCCAGACATCGGAGCTGTAGTCTTTGGTGAGATTAGCTGAGCCACCTCCTGAAAATGTTTGACGTAAATGGAGTCTACATACATGTAGTGACCTAAAAGTATAAAAGAAACTTAGCATAAGGATACATTTGAAAGGACACCAATAAAAGGAAGTATATAGAGGTGGACAGGCCTGTATTGCTAGGACAACAACGGTTAGTTCTGAGAAATATGAGTAATTCAAAGATTTTTCTTCTTGTTTCTTCCTCTGTACAACCTAAAGTTGTTAGAGTAAATACTAAGCCTCCCAAGTGTTTGGTGTTGTATTTAGTCTTATCCAGTGTAACATCTATTGAGCTTAATTAAGTAAATGAACAAGACTCACTTGTTCTACTCAGCAGATCATTTAATGTAACGAATTCTCAAACAAATTGTAATTCTGCACATTTTGCCATCTTTATAAAGCTACTTGGCCCACCTAAGACCTGGCTTCTGAATGTTTTATACTCTTTGCAAAATCCTTCAAAAATACTGTTAAGAGAGATTCATTAACAGAGAGATTGTTATATATATAAATATACACTCATGAGTAAAATTCCTTGCCCAAAACAGCCAATATGGTGTGCAAACAGATTCTTGGCATACAAAATGTAACACCACGACAGTGTATTAATTAGTTAATACTGTTCCGAGCCCTGGAGATTTCAGTTCTCATTCCATTCAAATGAATACAGGGGAAAGGGCTGGCTTGGTTATGAGTTTCCTCGAGCCTGCCACGGTCAGGAGACTGGTAACTCTTCAGCAGTACTTGCCTGAGATGCTTCATTTTCTTCTGCAGTATTACCACATCTCATATCTTAACCAAAATTTCTCTGACAAATGGTTGATGAATCCCCATACCACACTTCTTGCAAAAAGAAGGTTTTCACATGAATTTTAGATTCTTGAGATCTTCTCATTCAACAGTCAGTAGTGAGAGTTTGTGTGAAAAAGAAATTGGGTGGCTACAGGAAAATAAATCTCTCCCAGCTGCCAGTTTTGGCAGTTTCATACAGTACTTTTTAATATGCAGAAGGTTCATATGTACCATGGTTGAAGTTCTGGTGAGTCCAACTTCCGTGAAAATTTCACCAGTATCTAAGCAGTTATGCAGGGCTGGACTGATACTCTGTACTCAACTCATACAATTGTGAAATAAAATATAAAGGCACAGCGGCATGAGTTAAGGAAAAAGTATCAGCCCCACTTTTCATGATATAATTCCTTGCACTAAAAAAAACACAGTGTTGTCTGAGATGCAAAGTACTCTGTAGCAAGCTCGATTCCCATGTCTGCTGCAGTATTTCATACAGCACAACATCAAAGATAAAAACATCCACTCTTCTGTCCATCATTCTTCCTGCACTCAGTTCCAGGAAAAAAAAAAAAAAAAAAGAACATACATAGAGTTTTGCAGTATATGAGGAACACAAGGGTTAGAGAAGCGACTTTTCATCCATACTTCTGTTATATGTTGTTGCTTACCCAATTCATTGTTAAGTGTGTGGTCTTTGGGAAGGATAGACTGGGAATTGCGAATGTTTCCCCCTCCAACAAACCAATTCACATTGGGGTTCCAGCGGTTCACAAAGCCACAAAGATGATTTTCTTCAAAGTCACATTCTGCAATTGCAAACACCAGCTCAGTGTACATATTTTCTTCACAGAAGCTTGAATACATGCTATTGCTAAGCACTGGCTGTTTTACATACAGCAGTGCAGAGAACATCTACATTTATAAAAATGGACACACCACTTAACAGTTTACAGTAAGCAGAAGCAAACAGTGACAATTCTTGATCACTGCTGTGAAGTACACATTTCCATCTTGTTCAGTCCAATCTCTCTGTTCATTATTTGGCAATACCCAGCTGCTGTAATTTACAACAAAATAAAATAGATTTAAAATGATCCACCTTCTAGTGCTTCCTGAAGAGTCAGAGTAGAACTCCCATTTGTAAAGAAAGGATGGCTGGAAGGAGAGCAGAAATAGTATTTCTCAGCAGTGAGAAATACAGTAAGATTGCTTTATTTCCTTTGCAGATCCAAAGAATTGTTAGCAGTTCAGTTGGACTCCACAAGAGCTCCCCAGAAACTGAAAAGTCTTTTGGCCTCTAAGCCACTGAAATTTTGAATATGGCAGTATTTGGCAAACGTCATGAGGAAACAGCCATCAGTGTAAATATCAACACATCTTTACAGTCCGCAGCACTCCTTTGTAAGGAAACATGGGATGGCAGACAATGAAAATAATATCACAGCTCTTATGTCTAATGTTTGCAGAAGTCTAGTTTTGAAAAAATATAACATTTGCTCCTGCTCAAACAGCAAACTGCTTAAGAATAGAATGAGTCATACGTGAAAAGTTTATATTACTAGAGAAATGAGTAAATCTAAAAGTATATTAGCATGCACAGTCTTAATTTAAAAACAATGAAATACCTATACTGAATATGACAGTTAACTCTTCAACAAGATAAAAACTATTGTTTTTTTCCTAAATTGAAACCTTTAATTCGAGTTTTAGAACAGCCAGCAAGCCATTTTCTTCTATTCAGAGAAAACAGGAACTGAGCAGACAGTACTCACCAATACAATATCCAGGAGTTATTTTAATTTCAAAAACTGCTATACTGGCAGATTTATCTTGTCCCATTTCAGCTTCCAGTACAATCTGCAGAATACAAACCAGATTGTAGATTTTAGAGCATCAGAATGCCCATTTTCACCATGGACGTTTAAACCAGATAAATGAGTCAAATAACCTGTGTAGGGAACTCATCACCCCTTTGGTCACCAGAGGTACTTTTGCCGAAAGGCTTGTATAAATGCGTCAAAGACAAAGTTAATACCCTTCTATGAAGAAAAAAAGTATGCTAAAACACAATGAGACAAGGCCAAAAAAGCATACACTTCATTCATAGAGGAATGTAAAGAAATTCCTCAGCTTTGGGTATGTAGGGAGTTGGTGTTACAGAGAGAGTGTAATAGGGTTTGGATAGAAATATTCTCCTCTACACATCCGAGCTTTACTTCTTCAGGAATTGCACAGGGCAGGAAAAAGGGAGCACACTGGCAGAGGTTTCCACACGGGGAGGTCACATATCTGCCACGAGACAACAGCAGCTGTGCTGACCTGTCAAGAAATGAGGCATCCATGCTGCTCTGGCTCAGTCAGCTGGGTTTTTCAGTGAGCCCCACAATGCCTTTGCTTAGAAGAGTATTCAATGTCTGACTCAAAACAGCATTATTCACTGATTTTATGGATAGAAGAAGTAAGTGACAGCTCACATCAAGTTTTAACCCAGATGCTTTAGAACAAGCACTCAGCATCCCAGCAAGATGGAGCACAGTTCTGTCAAGGAAGAGTGTAGTGAAGATCACACACTCCGTGGAACAAGAATAGAAAGAATGAGACCAAGAGTGGAAATCTTCCACTTCACCACAATGTGTACACAGTAAAGCCTGTAGTAGTTACCTTCCAAAATTGTGCTTACCTTGTACTTCTTTGTGCTGTTTGTTAAATCTAAACTGGCTATGAGCCAACTATCTGAAGGCTCCTTGGCTGACCACAGTAAACTATCAAAGCTTTCTCCTTCTTTCCTCAAGTACAGGTTGAGCCTGGCAGGATCCAATGAAGTCACAGCGGTTGCTATCTGATAAATCAGTCTCATGCAGCTCCACTCTTCAGAATATAAGTCAGGACTGACAAGCACGGCCTTCTCACCCTCATAAGATGTGTCCACAGAAATGTAATGTCCTAGAAATAAAAACAGACACACATTAGAATTCTTAATCAAGTACTGCCCTCCAAAACTGGTAGCTGTAGGCAAATGATTTGATTAAAAAGATAATTTACACAAGAACATGTTGCAGGAATGTTTAATTAGATTTACAGATCAAAATTTCTTACTTTATTTTTCTATTTTATACTTAAAAGCAATAAAGAAGAAAGTGCTGCTGCTAAAACTTTGTAAAGAATTCCTGATTTCAAAGAAGACAATTAGGAAGACTCAAGACGTACTAACAGGTACAGATATACATGTTATAAAACAGTGCTAAGTGTAGTGCTACATTTAAAAGTATCAGTAATGTCAATGGGACTATTTCAAAATTAATCTCCAGATTGCTATTTTAGGAGCAGGGCCTAAAACATCAGTTTTGCTTAAAAAAAAAAAAAAAAAAAAAAAAAAAAAAAAAAAAAAGAAAAAAAAAAAAAAAAAAAAAAAAAAAAACAGAGGAAGTGATGAAAAGTTAAGAAAGCATGAGAAAAACAAAAAATACCAAGGAAACAACATGTAAAATAAGGAGACAACAATAAATCACCATGGAACAAATGCCTGGCATTAGGAGACTTCACTAACACATCAAAATCAAGGTCAGGAGTGCATAACGGCATACAGGAATCACAGAAAGCTGGAAATCAATGCCAGAAACGAATGAAACAAAGAGAGAAAGAGAATTTCAAGGGGCAAACAAACAATAAACAAGCTAAGACATCCATGGCTGAAACATGATTTGGGAAACAATCTTCCTAATCCAGTGGCCATGTCTATCAGACAAATCAGAACTGGTACCAGTTCTCAATAGCCAGACTGCATGCAGAAATTGCAAGAGCTCTTGAGGATTCTGTCATATCAGTCCTTCACATAGCAACACCTACCTTCTTTCCTTCAAGTGTGTATTTCTTCTTCGACCTCATTTTATTCAGCCAAAGAGCCCATTCTCAGTTTCCACATGACTAAGCACTTGCTTAGCATGGACACACCAGAATCGGAGTGCTATTGTTTGCCTTTGTGGCACACCCTCTTTTCCCAAGTCTGGCCTGAACACTACCACTCAACCAAACCACCCCAAGGCTGCTTCTTAGAAACTCTCCTATTGCCCTCTCACATTCACATATACTTTCCATTGAGAAAAAGACATACAAATGGGCAGTCACCACCTCGGAAGGCAAACTGCAGGCATGGATCTGGTTTACACAGGTCCCACCCAGAGTGCTCTGCACAGTGCCCTTGGGAAGATGCCATAAGCAGACTGACAACAGCTGCTTTCATGGCCACAGCATGTTACAGCACCCCAGTTCACACACTCCTTCTCTTCCCTACAAATACTGTACAGAAAATTACCTAACCCATTTGTACTGTACACTTGCTACTTACTTACAGGGTAGAATCAGCCCTAAACAGCATAAGGGATGTGTGGACATAGAAAAGCTGTATTTTGTTTCAGTTTTCAGGAAATTGATTTTTTTTTTCCTCTGACTGTAATTTGCCCTGTGCCGGTTTAAGTCTCCTGGAGGAACAGACAAAATCACTGGTAAAGTCACTTGATGCTACAGCAGCATAGCAGAGAAAAATAAATGAAGAAATATGCACCTCATATGCCTGCAAATACTTCATCTGCTACTACCTACAACGTGAGTACAGAAAACGTCGACCTGCACACAGCTACTCGGTCAGTTCACTCTAGAGAGCATGCAAACATTCGCTGCTAGTGTGATTGAGTCCAGGGAATGCACATCTTTGCACAAGCATGGAGGACAGAGGAACATTAACAGGATCTTTCAGAAGTCAAATCTTTCTCAAATAATATTTGTTTTTGATTTATCTAAGTGGTGATATCCAGCTCAGAAACAGAAACTTTGTTTTCAAGCTAGCCTGAATTTGGATCATTTTGCTTACAAAAAAACCTACAATTCAGAATCCATGTCTGGAAATTTTAGTTTAGATTTCAACCCTATTTTTGTCGAGACTTCATGAGAAACCCCACAGGAAAACAGAACATTCCTATAACATTCCCCTTTTTTCAGAAATAAATTAGCATTGACAAAGGAACACCCATTCACAGGAAGACCTCAAATTACCAGCTGTGAGGTTCAAATGGCTGCCTGGCTTTAAGACTTAATTATAAGTAGACTAAAGTTCTTGTACAGAAGTAGTCATTTAAAAAATAAAGAAAACCTCTTAGAGTTTCCAGACGGGTTTGGTCTGAATCCCTGCTGATATGAAAGCAAAGATCATGAACTCCCTTTTTAATTGAGATTCCTTAGTTCTTTTCTTTTTAAAGATTAATTTGACTTAACCATTAATATCTCAAAAAAAAAAAAAGTGCTCTCACCCTACTTACTAATCATTTTAGCCTCCTCTGGAAAGCTAAGCACATGATTGGCTCCACCGAAATGAGGGGGTCACTGATAGAGAGTTTTATGTGTAGGTTCAAATGCTTAGCTAATCAGGAGCAGGGAGACAGGCACTTTGCAGAATCAAGCACAGAAAATGCTAATGTTAAACTTCTTCCAAATGAATGCTAGCATTGACTAAATGGCCTTTATACTAAATTGTATTTCAGTAATAGCAATGACATGTGCTACTGCTGCAGAAAGGAAGGTCTCACAATGCAGACCTCAAGGACTGACACAGAGCAATTGTGAGAGCAAATCAATGCAAAGAGAGGGCTCCTTGGAGTAAAGAAGCAGACAAATTTCCACACTTGTTGTGGGAGTAACAGAAGAACATTTAACAGTACATGAAGAACCGGATGAATGCACACTGCTGTACCCAGAAAATTCTCATTAGAAATGCAACATGCAGCTTCATTTTGCAGCACGCTATACCAGGATGTTTTATTTCTCAAAATCCTCTTCCTTCCAATTGCCACAGCACTTATTAGAAGTCAGACTGGAGGTTTCAGAAGAGGACAACTCTTCAAAATCACAGGAATTACACAAAATGCTGGTAAAAGCCTGATGTTGCAGAAATACAAACATACAATTTCTTCCAATTTCTAGCTGTTACTTACTTAAGGGATAGGTGTAGCCCTAACCAGCATAACTGAGTACGTTAACATAGGAAAGCTACTCATTCTTTCCCTTTTTAGGGAATAGCATGCGTTTTTTTGCTGTTACGGAGAAGACAGTATACAAGCTTCCTTACAGGTGGCAGCAAGGACAGCTAACTACCTGTAACTGTCGGCAGCCAGCAGTTTCCTGGCACTGGCAAACATCTGCAGGTGGGGAAGAGTACCCTCAGATGTATTTCTCTTATCACACGTTCACTGCACCAGCTGGCAAGTAACACACTTTTCAACTCAGGTTTCTGAAGTAACTTTTCACCTACTGTGTAGCCTCACTGCTTTCTGCCTGACAGTTGAATTAAACTCTGAATGGGACCAGCATGTGCTCCTTCCTGCTCCGCCAAGGAAAATCTTGAGCCCTGGGGAACTTTGGACCCAACGCTGCAAACCAATCCAACCTTAATGCAAATATGCATCATGGCAGTAACACTCCTCAGTGCACCTCTCTGATCTTGCTTTTCTAATAATCAGTTCCTTACAGAGCCATTCACTCATATTTAACCTTCTCGTTAGTATTATTTACTTACTAAATAGGAATCTATACGCCAGTCGGCAGTGGTTACGACAATGGGGGGCTGGGGTGGGACCAGCAATATTACCTTTTCTCCTTTTTCCCCAGTACTGTAAGAGCATAGCAGCAATTGATCTCCCTGTAAATAACACAAACAAGGCACAATGCCAGACACTGGCTAATAAGCAACACCACATTCCATTAAGAAACTGAAAAAAAGAAAATCAAAACAAACAATTGGGATAACTAAGATTACCAGCTAGCTTTTTACATCTGATCTATTTAGCCTGTAAACATTTGGAAACATAACCACAGATGTGTTACACCCTTCCAGGAGCTTGTATCTGTCACAGCTGTTTGCTCAGCTCAGCAACAGTGAATTTACAAGAAAAATATATATAAATAGCTAGTTCCAAAAGAAACAGTATCAAGGAAATGAAGCAAAAAAAGAGGTTGGGAATTTGGGAATTTACATTAGACACTCATTTATTTAAAGGCAAAGTTTGCAAGAAATGCCAGTTATGTTTGGATTTCAATATGGAAACAGAAAAGAACATTATGAGGCATTCTCAAGATTAAAAAAAAAAAGAAAGATACTGATACTTCCTCAATATTTGGGTTTTGGTAGGATTTTTCTTAATACTCTACTGCCTTTAAAAAAAAAAAAAAAAAAGAACAAGAAACAGAAGCAAAACAATTCATTCTTACATCACCAGTTGGTTAAAGTTGGTTAAAAACACTAATGGTAAAAATACTAATGATACCAATGTCATTTTGAAAACTAAGTTTGTAGTTGCAGGCAGATTATGCTTAGATGAAGGTTCAAGGTTTGAGTTAGAATAATACAAATTTTGGCTGAAAAGGTCAAGGCTTGTGGAAACTGGAAACCAAAACTTCACATTCAACACTGATTTTGGTACAATTTCTTTCCAGCAAAAAGGAAACTTTTCAACTAATGTAGCACTTCTTGTTGGTTTGCTGTCAGCCATCTGGAAAGACAGTGGAGCATGTGGATCATTGTTAAATTTGCTTTAATTAGGAAAAGCTGTGATTTTTCTAGAGAGAATTCTTCTTCCTAAGAAGAGTTACACTGCATGTTGGTATGGCTCTTTGGGAGGAAGATGAAGAGGAATTTCTTTTAGGTAGTGTCCTGGGAAAGCAAAAAAAATTGCATGAGCAAGCAATAGGAAGAAATTTTTTTCCTCTACAATCCCGTGAAGAAAGTCAAATAAATCTCCAAACCATTCTAGTATACAAAAGGCTCAGTCGGGGTGTCACCGTACATCGAGCCCCAGAAAGTACAGCCTGTCGTGAGAGCAGAACCTCTGGGCAAGACCTCAGCAGCAGTACATCCCTGGCAGCAGCAGAAAGCAGTGCTTCACATCACTGTCAGC